TTCTAGCTTTCGCCATTGACGCGAATTTCGAGTTTTGATACTTCCGAATAAGCTTTGGTCTGATTTCTCAGGTTGCCAAATCCATCAGCGGAAGTGGACCTGCTGTAAACTCTATATCTTGAAACATGAATAACATGAATTATAACGAATCGATTATTCGGGTATATATGATCAAACTTTTTACTCTTTCATATAGCAAACAGAGTACACAAGGAATTGAAGTTCCTATTATATTAAACAGTCTACTCACTTTCAACCTTTGCAAACCCATCAAGGCTTCATTCATATCCTGCAACAATGATCAAAGATCACATATAATCTGTCACACAGCAAACAGCTTACATACTAAAGAGTTCAAATTAATAAAGCTGACTCTCAATATTCTTTGGGAGCCGATCAAAGTATTGGCGACATCATCAAAGTCCGAGTTAACATAACGAAGAAAATGGTCTGACGGGTTCCTTTTGTGTGGGCACGGGAAATCATGCATCTGCAAAGAACTGTAAATATATATATATATAATTTAGAAAAAAAATTAATATTAGGATTAACTACCAAACGAAGTGGTCAATATGATTCAAACCTCGATCGCGGAACAAGCCTCCCTGAAATAGATAGTCTCGTCGGACGACAAGAGTAGAAGGTCATAAAAAAGAGGGTGAAAAACTCGCTGCTCCGCTGGTGAATGGAGAAGACAATGGTTTGGCCCTTGGGCGCAATGTTTCGTAAGGCCTGCACGACGATGAATGCAGATGCGCTGTCAAGCCCGCTAGTCGGCTCGTCCAAGAACAGCAGGCAAAAATGCGTTACGATCTCCAGGGCGATGCTTAGCCTTTTCTTTTCGCCGCCGCTTATGCCCCTCAGGTGGCAGTTGCCGATTACGTGATCCCTGCACTGCAGGCCCATTTCGGTAATTGTGCTCTCGACACACTCGGCTAGCTCAACTCTCGTCGTGTAGCTCATATGTCGTCGTGAAAAAGAGAAACATGCAAATTAGGATCCTTAAATCAAATGCATCATTAAAGAGAACTAACAAATATAAAATGTTTCGAACTCTAAATTCTCAGAATAACCACATATATTTCTACTTACCTCTACTCCGTGATGGTGTTATGGCACATGAGAAGAGAAATGAACCTGTATATAAAAAGTAAACAGATAAGAAATTACGAAACTTAGAATATGAATATCACAAAGTACCAAAAAAAAAAAATGAATGACAAACCATTAAACAGATGCATAAATAGTATAACCTGAACAATATGCAGACCCTTTTCTATGGAAAAAAAATCGCAATCAAGTAAGAAAAAGTTTACGAAAAAAAATGCAAAGAAGAATGTTTTGAAAACATCCCAAAGTAAAGCTACACCCCAACAATGCAAATGATAAACAACAAAATTACCAGTTTGCTCATGATCAAAACTTCACATCCAGTTGTCAATCACGACTACACTCTAAGTACAGTTCAAAATCCAGACAAAAAGTACCTTATCCTATACCTCATCAATTGCAAGCCTTCATCACCATAGAACTGCTTTGTAGTCTCTTTAGCAACCTCAACAGGAGTCTTTCCATCTTTACCTGTTGTCACAGATGAGGCATAATCTCACAGCCCATAAGATTTCTAGACACCACGAATATCCTTACAAAGTGAAAAGATCTTGCTCCAATACGCTGTAAAAACAGAACAAAAACCTCCCACCTCAAACTATCCATTTCCATAGGCTTGTAAACAATGTAAATTTAACAAATAAGAAGAACATAAAAAAACCCTAGCTCACCCGGTCAAAATCTCTGGTGCAGATTCATCAGTATCGCTGAAGAAGAGTAGAGTTGGGAGTTGTTCGATCTGCTTCGATGCGATAGTGACGGTCGTACCCACCGGAGGCGGCAGCTAACTAAAGGCGTTAATATTGATGACTCTGCTCATCCTCGTCCTTCGCCGCTACCCCTAGACTATAAAAGCCCTAATCAATTTCGACAAAAATTGAGAGAAAGGATTTTAGAAATACCTGTGAGTGGTCAAATTGAACGACGCCGGCCAAACATCCGACAGCACGTTCATCTGCCGTTGTCGCTCCCCTTCTCGAGATTATAGATCGTTGCCCATCGCCGCTCCTCTTCCCGAGGTTTGAGATCGCCCTCACGGCATGCGTATTGGAGGTTGCCCCATCACCCACGACCCCGAAATCCGTCTGGTAGAATGCCGCAGGCCGGAGCCTGGACAACTCCTTCTGCTGTGGCGAAGCCGGCGTTCTGACAAGAGTAGCGATTTTTTGTTGCCAGTTTTTTAGCGCAAAAAAAAAAAAAATGCGTCCTCTCACCTTCTCTCTGACGCTGCGTGCTGGTTAGAGCAACTTTAATGGTAAGGTTTTATAAACCTCACTTTTTACAATCTAAATACTCCACTATCATCTAAACCTCATTTTTACTTGTACACTCAAAAATCTCAAATAATAATAAACCTCATAAACCTTATTTTGGTGGGTCCCGCATGTTTCCCACTTACTTTTAATTAAAATTACACTCTTACTATATTTTATTAAAATTGTAAAACTATAACTCCATTTTTACTTTTACTTTATATATTTATCAAAACATATAAAAAATAATAAATTATATATAATTATATTGCATTTTTTATAATCATAGAGTTTTTATTACATACTGATTAAAATTTTACTTAAAAAAGTATATAATATATTTAAATTATATTTCATATATTTATGTATATACAATTATATTTGATGTAAGTTTTTGAAATTTAAATACTTAATAGGAAAAAAAAAATTATATTTATGAGTTTTCAGAATTTAAGTACTTGTAGTTTTAAATCATGTGGAGTTTAAGATTTTTAAATTTTCGATTACTATTGAAAAATGAAAATAATATGAAATTTAAGACTTTAAGTTTTTGTTTTTACAATTGAATAATTAAGGATACTTTTCCTATATGTACATGAAAGTGCAAGGAAAAAACCAAAAATAAAAAACAAAAACAAAGTAAAATGTAAGATATAAAATGTGGGACCCCATTTTCTCCCACTTACCCATTGCTTGTTATTATTTTATTATTTAAATGAGGTTTACATAAGGTTTATACTGTCAAAGCTGTGTTGAATTTACAAACCTCCACACCGTGCCTTATAGTGGTAAAACCTTGAAAATGAGGTTTGTAAACCTCACAAAACGCTACCGATAAAGATGCTCTTATAGATGGCGAGCAACGGGGAATGAAAATATCTCTCATTTGAAATGACCAGACCTGAAAAAAGTAGGGTAATTAATTTTAATTTGTGGCAGATAATAAAAGTACAAAATATAAATTCGAGAAGAAAAAAAGTGCGGAGAAATGGAGAAACCAAAAGGATGCAAACAACACATACCACGTGTCGCTTTTTCAAAAGGTTTCCTATTTTCTTATTAAATAGAAAGGTAGATAACGTAGAATTTTTCTACACAATTAAATTCAACTCGAGTTAAAAACTGGGCCATAAAAATCAATTAAAATCGGGTCATACTTAATTTTATATTACTGATTTCCAACACATACACGAAATGTGCAAGTAGAATAATAATGTATGCTGGACGAAAACGGACTCTTCTCGCATAATAGGTCTCAAAATGATCAATTTATAACAAGCATAGACTTATAATCTATTACTTTATGAGTTATATGTTAGATATTACTTGTAAGTTGTTTCACATTGATTTTATAGGTACACAAGACTAGTTTATAAGGGCTACTCCTCCCATCACTAATTGATTTTGGGATGCAATCTCACTATAGTGCACCTAAGCCCAACCTCTTATAGTGCGTTTCAACTACGTGGAATCACACCCTCTTGCCACGATTCTCTAAACCGCACATTATTTCTGCGTTTTTTTTTCTTTTGGCGACAAGAGAACGCCAGAAGAGAAGAGAGAGCAGAGAATAAGAATCAAGAGAGAGACGAGTTTTTTCAGACAAATTAAATGAAAAATAATAACATCACTTTATATATGGGGTGTAATAAGAAAAGAATTTTAAATTGGGGACCGAGAAGGAAGAATAAAAGTATTGGGGACTGAGGAGGAAGTTGATTTGTGGAATGGGGATTTATAAGGAAATTTCCGTTAGGATATACCATAGATATATTTACAACTTTTTAAAATTTTTGAAATCTCAAATGAATACCTAAACATAAAAATAATAATAATTCAAGTTAAATATACCATGATTTCGAAAATAAAAAATAAAAAAATTGAAGTGAAGGCATTCTCTTTAATTAGTTCAATAATTGCATAGATTTTACAGGTGGCTCATGTTCAAAAAAGGAAAATATATATTATGAGTTACTCATTTTTAGTGAATCTTCAAAATCTCCAAACCCCATCCCAACTCAAACTTGTTGTTTTGTTTCAATTGCTTGTTTTTCCTTTCAAATCTAATCCTCAAAATCCCCATTGTATTTCAAAACCCACCTCAAGGACCAATATGAAGTCACTGTTCAAGTCCAAGCCCAAAAACCCGGCTGATTTGGTACGGCAAACGCGCAGTCTGCTCGTCTTCCTGTTTATCACCTCATGATCTGATTTGTTGATTTCTTGTGAGTTTCTTTTTTTTTTAATTTATTTTTTCTGTGGCTTCTTCGTAGGTTGATGATGCCTAGCTCTACCTATTTTATTTTCAAGTTTCTTTAACTGAATTTTAGGATTTCTGGGTTAGATGAAATAGTGGTTTACGTAGTTTTGCGGATCTAAAAATAAAAAAATCGTCAATTAAGCCTACTTTAAGATTCTTCCAGTAATAATTTAGTCAAACATGGATCTTGTTTTTGGTTAATTAGGGTGTATAAGGATTGAATTGAGTGGATATGGAACACATGTATGTGTTGCTTAAGCTTGTGTATATTCTAATTTTAGTTTTTATAATTTAGTTTGAACTTAGTTTGGCTACCAATTGAATAAGTCAAAATTCACGAAAGAGTTATATAGAACTTTGTCTCCATTTATACTGTAATAGTCTGTTGATGATTTTTCATGTCTTTTACCAAATTGAATTGCTAATGTTTTGTCGAAAAGAGCTCTCTTTTATGCAATTATTCTTCCGTTTATAGCCTTTTTTGGGTCGTTTGGGTTCGTGTTGTACCCTTTCAGCTCGTATTTTCATCCAGTGGGCCTTGCGAGAAGTGTTGTTATCTCTGTTATGTTCTGGGGCTTTGCTGATCAGGTGAATTAGTTGTCCTGTCTTAGTACTCGCACATTTTATCCTCCCTGATAATATTTTATGTTGTCATATAACTTTTTTTTAGGATATTCTGTTTGAGCATCTGTAGTTGGTTAGTATGACATTGTGATAGATTTTGGATCTCAAATGGATAGGGCTATTGCCTGTGCAGTAAAATTAATTCTGGAGTATGCTCAATTTGATTTTCTTTCATTTGAGGTTTATTGTTTCCATTGGGATTTTTGGAGGTGTAAGTTAAAGTGCTTGCCTTTTGCTTTATATTCTTTTGGGGTTATTGATCATGTTGTTAGGTTGCGTGTAATCTGTAAGACGGTTAGGTAGTGATTTTGATTTAGTTCCCCCTATTTTCAACCACTCAAGTTATGCTATTTTACTCTCTCTTGTGTGTTTGTGTGTAGATGATGGAATTGGGGGGGATATATCCAACATTTTAGACAAATTCTTTATGGAGACAGTCAATCCGAACCCCTGATGCTTGTGCACAGATGACTCAAGAGTTTTTTTGGGAGGATACCCTCTGTCTGTTTATTGTATTCTTCCCAAGTTGAACTTCGATATACTTTTAGAGAATTCCAACACTGCCAAATTATTGTGTGCTTTTTGTTAAGAATTAAATTATTCTGATGGGGTCTAAAATATAATGGATTTTAATGCGCTAGTTCTTTCCCATGATGATTGAATGATAAACGCGACCAGTAATTAGTTAAACATTTTCAGGTCCGCAAGAATTCTAC